ACCTACCTACCTACCTACCTACACACACACACACACACAATATGTGCATGCATATACATGGTACTGGAGTATGCTACTGACTCCCCTAACCCGGGAGTTTCTGCTTGGCTGGTTGAAGCGGAGGGCCAGACAAAACAAGAAACCGATTCATGCAAACGAGAAAGCAGTTCAATTGGTATGAATTATGTGATGTACACCTTGAGCTAAATCCAATTTCAATCCCAAATAGAGCAGAGCTACTGAAATAAATTGGAATTTCATCAGCAGTAACCAGCAAGTCGCATATATTTACTCTAGTTAGCAGTACGCCTTGGATTGCCTCCGGTATATTGCTGGACCTTAGCCCCTATCTGTTGTACCCAGCAGAGCCGGTGGTGAGGGATGTCGGGACCTGGAGTGAAACAATTATCTGTGTGGATGCAAGTTGCTCACCCTTGAAAATATAGAAACGGTCCTCCTTCCCTTCCTCAAGGGTCCCGCCAGGGATCAAGGCCTTTGCATCTACAGTCTACTCTTTCAAAACTCCCAGTATAATTGCTAATGGTGTTACATTGAGTTTAACCCTAGCAGAGTGTCTGTAGAGGTATTTCGAAGTCTTTCTTCTCGGAGACTTTTAATTCTAGGAGCTTAACTTTTGAGCCTCGATGTACAGAGCAGGCCCTTTCCTGTAGAACAATATTCCTTTCTTCCCCAAAAAGCGAAAGCTACTGGCACCAGATTTCCCTGAGAAGCGAAACTGGACTCTTTTACATCCAAAAGCTAGGATCGTGTGCCGTTAGGCCAAGAATCATAGGCAGAAATACGGTTGGTGTAAACTTGCACCGCCCGAACCATCTGTCATAATCTTGTGATGGACACCTTTCATTTAGTTCCATTAAAAACTTGTTATCGCCCTGTTCGGTTCTAAGGCTCCCTCGGGATCCGTTTTGCTTTTGGGAAGCTCGGGATGGTGGCGGTGGAGAGCCTTTAATGTTGCAAAATCATTACTGAGAGTCCTGCTAGATTGGATCAGAACTGCCAAAGGTGATCTGGCATTGATTTGCCGAGATTAAAGACTCCCTGCCCCATCTCAAGGCTCCCAAAGGGAGCTGGGGGTGGAGCGCTTCTTTTGGGGGGAGGCAGTCGCAAGCTGCAGCTTACACTTTGCCCACCTGTGGGCAAACTTTGTGTAAATGTATTTCTCTGCATCCAGCTCTTGGAAGATCTTTGAAGCCAACTGGAAGCAGGACTGTTATCCCTGTACGGCCCTCCATCACCTTATGCACGAGCCATCTTTTCCACCCTAGGATCCTCCAGGTGGGTTTTCCAAGTTGGCTGAGGATGATGAGACATGTAGCCCACGGTTACATGTTGGAAAAGGCTGTAGTGGACCCTAATAATGGGACTCTTCCTCTAAGCACCAATACATTACGTGGCATAAAGGTTTGGGATTTTTTTGTGTGTGCCTGGAATGATAATGTCTTCTGCAGAGCTAGCTACTGAATAGCGGGAGGCTGATTGCAAGCAGATGTTGCTGTCAGCTTAAACAATGAAGAAAGCAAAGACAGGGTGTGTATCCAGACAGCTCCTGGCTGGCAACGGCTTCCCTGCTGCCTCCACAGACCAGATCAGAATTGGGCTAGCCTTCAGAGAATTTGCTCTTAGATGTCTCCTTAACCTCACCATAGAAAGAACATATTAAAAGACAAAATGCTCACTGAGTCTTGGGCTTAGAATTCACTTGATGGTGGTCCTTCAGAAGTCCTGTGCAAGCCACCAGCCAACTGAACTTCTGAAATCGTCCACTGAGGGCTGCATTCTCTGTGTAGCATGTCTGAAGCTGCACGTTGGCGATGGGCAGGGCCAAACTTCTCTCTTTCAGTCATTCTCTTCGTTTTGTTCTCTTCTTCTGTCTCCCCCCTCCCCAGTTTGTCCTCTCTCATATCTTCCTCCCTGGCTGCCCCCTGGATGTTTACCACCCCATCAAAATGGAAGTCAACCAGTCAAGAAATAGACAAAGACGGGCTTATAAATCTGTGCAGATCATCCAGCTGGACAATGGAAGTGACAGCCCTTGGATTCAATGCAGAAATTGGAAATAAATATTTTTTTTTGGATGATGGCCTCACGGCTCCTCCAACTGGCCAAGCCGACAGGGGAGATGATAATGATGATAATCATTAGAATTGCAGAGCTCAAAGGGAGCCTATGGATCATCAAGTCCAGCCCCTATCAAGGAGGCACAGTGGGGAACCGAACTCTCACGCTGGCCAAGACCTTTGAGCTATCTGGGAGTTTTTGGACTTCAAAAAAAATGAGGTTTTTTTTTTTTTTGAGATTTAGATTGAAAACAAGTGGCCTGTTCAAATACTGAAAAAGCAGCGAAGTTCTTGGTCCATAGAATGCTTGATGTCGGAGCAGTTCCTTATACTGTAGTATTGGAATATCGAAGTGGGGGGGCACATCACCTACACTCCTTGCCATTGATGTGGTTGCAATGGCAATAAAAACCCTCTGCTTTTTTCATGTCAACGAGAGCACACATTCCATGCTTTGCTCAATGCTGTGCTTTGATCAGTGTCAGCGCAGACAGCGGCCCTGAAACTCTCGTCCCTCTCTGTGTGATCACTTAATCCGAGCAGAAGCATAAAATATGTAGGTTGCGAATCAAGCCGCAGGAAAGCCGAATTGCTCCGACTTGCTTCACCAGTGTAGTTGCAGCCCAAAAGGGGACTCTTTCTGTGGGCAATGGAGTGGATGTAACAATAGTGGCAAGGGACAGGCCTGTATCCCTGCGTCTGGCCTGCGAATTGCCCTTTGCCATCTGAACGGTTGGGAACATTCTCCGTACCTCCGGACGCCAGGCCCCCTTCCTTCCCCTTCCAATGCTTTGTTGCTTAAAAAGGAAGGGGATCAATGAAAAATCAAGTTTTTATAAAACAAAGGTCACATGTCATGAGCAACGTGGAGGAAGGAAACAGGTTACAGGTAGCAGTGCTGGTACTGCAACTTAAGTTTTGGAGGGACTATAAGCTTCAGAATTATCCAGGGGCCACACCAGTAGCAGGATTCCAGGAAATATTCCCACCCCTGCCCCCCAAAAAACCCATCAGATGCTCAAAGCTCGGCTAATTAGTCTATGAGGATTTCTCTGGAAAGTAAAGGAAGAGACCCCCCCCAGTGCCCCTAGTAACCGTCCCCCCTTCCAAGTGTATATAGTTTTCAAAGATGTGAAGGGCACAAAGCATCCCCCCCCATTCATAAAACGAATCCAGTACAAAAGCCTCCCCACCCACTCTTAAGACCCTCCTTGGTGCATTTTGGCTGCAAGTATATTAAAAGTATATAGCGCTGTCAGAGTGGACTATCAATCATTTTCAAGCCCTGACTCTGTTAATGTGGTGGCGTAAAAGGTTGCTCGCCAACGTCTGACCAGCTAATTGAAACAAAATGGAAACCATTTCCTCACAATTAATTGTACGGCTGAGGCTGTGAAGGCAAGGGAACGCTTTGGTGGCAAGAGCTCATCATTTAAAAGTAAAATACAGCAGGGTTTAAACTGTCAATTAAAATTTCTTTTCTCTCTCTCTTTTTTTTAAAGGCAAAGGTGTCAGTTTGAAACAGCAGAGAGGTTAAAAAGAAATTCAGTGCAAAGTGTATCACTTACTTTTTGAGGGGATTGCTTCCAAAAATAGCAGACCCCCAGAACTGTCAGGATGAGAGAGAGCACAAAGGTGCACAAGAGGACCCCACAGAGCTGATATCTTCTGCAGAGTTCCTTCTTTTCAGATGCTTGCACCTAAAAATCGGGGAGGGAAAAAAAATAAAAGGAGGGGATGCATTGAAGAAGGCTGTTGGTCAAGCCAAGCTGTGGCATGCAGACAAATACAGAAATATTAGAATTAGGGATCAGCAAATGGTCGTGGGAGCACAAACAGCTCTCCCTGTGGCCCCTCCAGAAGAAATTAAATAAGGCACTTACATCCTGCACGTAGACATCAAGGGAGGTCTCTTGGGGCTCTCTGGCCATGGCAGTTTCCCCCTCTGTTGCAAGAATTCCTTCTGTGTGCAAGAGAAGAGACCCACGACCGCTGGGGCTGAGGCGGATTCCCAGGGCTTCGGCTTGCAAGTGTGTCAAGGAAGGATCGTTTTCCCCCCTTTCCTGGCTCACGCTGGCCGAGCCAAATGGTGCTTTGCCACATGGGTGGGTGGAATCTTTTGAGCAGGGCTCAGGCAGTTACTTAATAAAGAAGAATAATTTATTTCAGCTATCGTTCCAATGATTAGCTACCACTGGAGTTATAATCTTTGAAAAGTAACTACCTACAGGAGCGACACTTCTTGTTACTTTTTTAAAGAAATCAAGATGAGAGACTAAGTCTCTCAGGCTGTAGAAAGATGTAAATAATCTTTATCCTAATTTGGAAATGCTCCCATGTGTTTCAGCACATGGCCTTCTTCAGGATCTATGTATCAAAAACAAAAACAAATTACCGTATTTATATAAGACAACTGGGCGTATAAGACGACCCCCCCAACATTTCCACTCAAAATATAGAGTTTGTTATATACTCGCCGTATAAGACTACCCCCTCTTCCGCACACCTTCCACACACCAAATAAAAGGTGCTATTCATTGTCACCATTGTACGGCTGCAGCACAATTGCAGCGCCTCCGGCCCGCCCCTGCATCTCCCTGTGACCGGCACTAGTGCGCATGTGTGAGCTCTGCGTAGACAAGGGACAGGCCGGAGCGCCACTGCTTCCCGCCGAGCAGAACGGGCCAGTCACGTCAAAAAGGCTAGCACCCCTGTCTTGCTGTTGATGCTCACTGTGGCTGCGCTGGATACTGCGCGATACTGGACGGTATATAGAATGAGGTGGGCAGGAATCGGGAGGCTACTATGGGCACCAGGCGAGCATCAGAAGGCCACTATGGGCAGCTATGTCTATCCCAACTGAAGTGCACCCGGCGTATAAGACGACCCCCCCCCACTTGGAGGCATGTTTTTCAGGGCAAAAAAGTAGTCTTATACACCAGCAAATACAGTATTTATAAACGATAAGTTAAGGACACCCAGAACTGTCTATAATGAATGCTCATTTTTATATTCATATAGACAATATTATATCAATGCATATGCTTTTAGATTTTCATATGAATTCTTCCCAACGTGATCTTTAGGGTTGCAATAATAATAGTCTACCGATATGATTGATAACAAGGTCCATGCTCCATACTGAGATTTTAGAATCAAAACTGTGACCTTTTAAAACTTTGGCACTGAGGGCTTGATTGTATTAAGCTTGGGTCCCATGAGGCTGGCACACCTTCGGAGAAGGTGGAACAAGGGGAAGGAATGCCCATGGCTGAGAGGATGATGACCATCCTGGCTGTGCTGAGCTCACTTCTTTTGCCTTCCCTTCTGTCAAGGAGGAGCAGCGGGGGCGGGGGGGGAATATATGTACTCCTGGGGTCTGAGTGGCTTTAGGTACTGCAGGCAGGACAGCCATGTTTTTGCACCCTCTGCATCAGTGGATCAGTCTTCTTTTGAGTCACACATTTCCCCCTTTTCCTCCCTTCTTTAAGCTCTCTGGAAGTGACACATCACAGTTAAAATAGTTTTCTTGTGGAAGTGGCAGCAATTATAGCTTTACACTGGCATCTCTCTCCCTCTCTCTTTGTAAAAGAATAGTTCTGATCATTCCTCCTCAGAAAGTAGAAGCTTCTTTCTCCTCCCCCCAAGGGCCTGTTTCTCACACATACACATGCACACAATTTTAACATTTCTCTCCAAAAGGTCAAGGAGGAAATTATTTGACAAGGGCAACAACACATATAAAGCAAAGCAAAGCAAAGCGTGCTGCTTATATACCGCCCCATAGTGCTTCAAGCACTGCGCTTTCAAGCGCTCTTTGGTGGTTTACAAGTTAATTATGCAGGCTACACATTGCCCCCCCCCCAGCGAGCTGGGTACTCATTTTACCAACCTTGGAAGGATAGAAGGCTGAGCCAACCTTGAGTCGGCTACCTAGGATTGATATCTATCTGCAACTCCCATTGGGAAGCATTGCTCTAAATGTGATCACCCTGGGTCAAAGCCTTGGTTGGCCCTTTCTAGATGCAGACCCATCTCGATGCTACACAACGCTGGCCCAGGACAGAAAACGGGAAGTCTTCCTGTCCACCTCGTTGTTGACTCAAAAGTGGTAACACAGCACGGAGCATCAGCATCACCGGCACCTGAACAATACGACAATCCATTTCCTGGGATTATTTACCCTAAAATGTATAGATGCAATGGGAAGGGCTCCAAAAGGTTTGACAAAGGAATGTTTTGAGCTGCTATAATTAGTTAATTCTCTCCTCCTCCCCCCAGTAATGAAGATATATCACAGTTACATTATGATTATAATTTGATAATTTTACTCCTTTTCTGCCACTGTACTATGGACAATCCCCATAGTCAAATGAATTAAAAATTTCTTTAAATTAAGTTAAAAGGTCTAAATTAATTTAAAGGAAAAGTAACACCATAAAAGGGACGTGGTGACGCTACGGGTTAAACCACAGAAGCCTCTGTGCTGCAAGGTCAGAAGACTAGCCATTGTGAGATTGAATCCACACAACAGAGTGAGCTCCTGTCACTTGTCCCAGCTCCTGCCAACCTAGCAGTTTGAAAGCATGTAAATGCAAGTAGATAAATAGGTACCACCTCGGTGGGAAGGTAATAGCGTTCCGTGTCTAGTCGCACTGGCCACGTGACCATGGAAACAGTCTACAGACAAACGCTGGCTCTATGGCTTAGAGACAGGGATGAGCACTGCGCCCTAGCGTCGGACATGACTGGACTAAAATGTCAAGGGGAACCTTTACATTTACCTAATACCATAAAAAGAGTGAAACTATCCCTTGTCAAGTTATAATCACATTATAACTTAGATATGCCTTAATTACGACAAATAGGGATTACATTAGGACTGTGTCATTGTGAGCTGGAGTATAAAGGACGAGAATTGAGAGAGAGTGAGCCGTCCCCTCACATGTGTATAGAAGAGGATAAAGATAGAGAGGATGGAGATAGAGAGGTAGCTAAGGTTACGGAGAAGGTGAAAGAGCTGAAAGCGGGAGAAAAGGAGGAGGAGTTAGAGAAGACAAGAAGAAGGGGAGTAGATGTTTAATTGATGACGGAGGAGGGGGGAGAAGTCAGGGAAAACAAGAAAAGTAGTGGTTTTGGAAGATGAACGGCAGGAGGAGGAAGGAGGACCAAAAGTGTTTAAAAGACCTCAAAGGGAGAAATAAGAGATGGACAGCGTGAGAGTATAGAACCAGATAGGAAAAGGAGTGAGGTTAAATTGCCAATAGAAGGATTAGGATCAGAAGAATGGACCCTGATGGGCCTTAACTTATCGCTCAAAGGGAGAAATAAGAGATGGACAGCGCGAGAGTATAGAACCAGACAGGAAAGTGAGTGAGGTTAAATTGCCAATAAAAGAATTAGGATCCGAAGAATGGACCCTGATGGTTGTCATGAGTTCAGCTGAAGAAGATCTGGAATCTGAGGGGTTAATTACTGCTGAGGAAAATGCTGGGCAATTGGGCAGCCGAAAAAGATCTGGAATCTGAGGGGTTAATTACAGCTGAGTAAAATGCTGGGCAATTGGAAGCACAGACAACTGAATCACTGCCAGATTCTCCTCCCTCAGAAAGCCGACCAACCAGGAGAGATTCGGACATTCTCCCCGTTGATGAAGGAAAGTTATGGAGGAAATTTACCGCTATTGCGGACAGATTTTCCTGTAGATTTTGGTCACATTGACCCTATAGAAGTTATTGTTGAGAAGCCTAAGAGTTCTGTTAATAAAGAGTTTGTTGTTAAAGAATCATCCCTCTTCTCGATTCCCGCCAAAACTTAAGGACGAGGAACCCTACCACAGTTATCTGCAGGGGAGATTGGTTTCAAGTCCCCTCCTGCAGATGTTGAAAAATGAGGATGTATCGAATGCTATACGTTGCATGGTCTCTTGCTCTCTCTAGTGATCATTTCTGGTAAATGCACCCTGGAAATACATAAAAATAGGTATTTCTTTTTAAATTTATTTTGTATTTTCAGTCTCTTCTCAGCATTGTAGGGAAGCTGCTTGCCCGTGTTGTGCTGAAGAGATTCCAGGGGCTTGCAGACAGAGTCTACCCAGAATCCTGGCGTGGATTTCGAGCTAATAGATCCAACGTTGACATGGTATTTTCCCTCAGACAGTTGCAGGAGAAATGTAGGGAACAACAACAGCCACTCTTTGTGGCCTTCATAGATCATACAAAGGCCATTGATTTGGTTAGCAGGGAGGGCCTTTTTAAAATACTTCCCAAGATTGGATGTCCACCTCGACTCCTTAAGGTCATCAGGTCCTTTCATGAGGAAATGAAGGGCACGGTAGTTTTTAATGGCCCAACATCAGATCCCTTTGACATCCGAAGCGGAGTAAAACAGGGCTATGCCCTCACACCGAACCTGTTTGGGATCTTCCTTTGAATGCAGAACCAGGAAGGAATGATTTAGTTATTGCTGGATAGATTGAGAGTCACTACAATCCTGAAAGGTGCTTTCCAGCCAAACAAACTATGGGCAGCATGTACAGTTGCAAATAAAAACTTGAATGAGTCCCAGCAACAAGAAATCCCCGGATTCCATCATCCTTTTCATCCTTGTCAGATCACTTGCCCGCCCCCGGCTTTCTCTGCCCCAGACCAGGGTGGTAGTGGTTGATCAGGAGAAGGCCAATGTTAAGCTCTCTTAACAAGCAAGCAAGAGGTAGCCTTCAGGTGGACTGGTTCATTTGCTAGTTGGTCTGGCTTCTGTACAAAGAAATGAAGGGACACAACAGGACCCTTTGGTTCAGGCAGCAAAAATATATATGGGGGCAATTCTTGATGACATTTTCTTACCTGTAATTTGTAGACAAGTGAAATGAAATTAATTTAAATTAAATGATCTTACTTTTAAAAAATCTCAAGAAAGCCTAAGATGTAGCCTTTTAATGTAATCACTTCAGAA